CCTTTGAATGTTTATTTTACACTAGTTATATGCTGAGTGTTTTACTCATGTTATCTGTTTAGTCCTGATAACAATCCAATAATGTGAATACTTCTATCCCTATTTAATTGAAAAAGAAAACCAGAGCATAATCTGTCCAAAATTACATGAAGTTAGGTGTCAGAACCTGGTTTCAGTTTAGTCTCTTTGATTCTAGAGCCCCGAGTTTTTAAACCTCTAAGCTATTTTTTTTGTCATCTTGAAAATGTTGATAGTAAGCCATATTTCACTTCTATAAGAAATTGAATGACTTATATAGAAAACACAGCTAGCTTTGTGCAGGTCTCTTTTGCATTTATAGTTAACAGATTAATAATAATTCCGTTACTAGTTTTTATTTAAAATTATCACATCTTTATTTCTCAGCTTACCATAGGCTAGAATGGCTCCCATTACTTTATGTTTCTCAATATATTATCTAATTTGGCTTTAAAGCCCAAAAAAGTCTTTGAATAAGTGACATAATTTTTCTTAATTTTGATAAAGAAGCATCAAAATATTTATTTTCACTTTGCATCAGATTTTGTAAGCAATTTCAGACTAATTCAGAAGTCAGCTTAACAGCTTTGTTCAAGACAGTGACAAATTTTAAGCTTTAACCTGTCAGAAACAGAATGCTACTGCTGTGTAAAACACAGGAGGATGAAATGGATGTTAGACTAACTCTGCATGAAATTGTAGTCACTAAAGAAATTTCACAGTTGCTTAAAATAACTTTGCTTTTGTAATGTCTGTAGCATCAATACAAGAAGTTATTTCTTGAAAGGAAACAAATATATAAATATCTAACAGATTATTCTAGTTGTGTAAAAACATTCACAAAGAAGGGTTTTTTGGATATGAATGAGTTTGGCAACAGTTCAAATTCAGTGTATCACTGAGACTTGCATAGCAACATTGCTAAATAATAACACAAATATTTACTTCATAATAATGGCCACTAGCATTCATTAAGTTGTCATGTGTGAAGATACTCTTCCAAGCACTTTAAGTGAATTGATTTCTATAATACCCTTATAATAGATAAATATCATTAGTATCCCCATTTTATGGTTGAAGGCAAGGCAGACAGGTCTTGCCTAAGGTCATACAGCTACTAAGTGGCTGTAAATAGCAGGTACCTGTATGACATAGTTTTAAAGTTTATTTTATCGAGTTTTTGTTTGAACTGAAAATATTTTTACATCTGCCTTTAATATGAATTAAGTCTTTACAAATTAGTATCCGCTTCTATCTAAGCATATGAAAACATTCTGTCACACTTGTAGATTGTAATATTTAAAAAGAAAATAAACCCTTAAAGTATTTCAGGCTACCTTAAAGCTGCATTTCCTAGACATATTCAGAGTCCAAGTAATCTTTCCATTAATATGCTAAATACTGTTTTTTCTTTAGAATGCCAAAATAAGCCAAAAGTCCACTGTCTTCTAGTATAAGAAATACTCATGGGCATTAGACTATCAGAATATTGAATACTCTGTGATTCTTGGGCTTAAACCTAATATCTAATGTTAAGAAGTTAACCACTAAGAGAATTAAAAATTAGGAGGAAGTAAGAGTCAATCAATCTCCTAAAATTGATACATCTTAGCCTGGCAAGGTGGTGTGCACCTGTAGTCCCAGCCAGGAAGCTGAAGCAGAAGAATCATGGGAGCCCAGGGCATCAAGACCACCTTGGCAACGTAGCAAAACCCATCTCAAAAAAAAAAGGTGAGCAATCTGTGATGGTGCATGCCTGTAATCCCAGCTACTATTGAGACTGAGGCAGGAGGATCACAAGTTCAAGACCAACCTGAGCAACTTAGCCAGGCTGTCTCAAAATAGAAATAAAATAAAAAAGACTGGAGATACAGCTTAGTACCCCCTGGATTCAATTCCTATCATGACAAAAAAGTGGGGATTGGTATATCTTAGTCTAAAGATATAACATATTAGTCATTATGGAAATAACCAATAGAAAAACTTAAAAACAAACAATTTAAAAGTTATTTTATAGGGCCGGGGATTTAGCTCAGTGGCACTGCACCTGCCTCACAAGCACAGGGTCCTGAGTCTGATCCCTGGTACCCCAAAAAAAAACGTTATTAGAGTCAGAGACAGAGAAATCTTTTTCTTATTTCCAGAACTTTTTTTCTTATTTTCAGACACATTGATTTCTTTAAAGAATTCATTGAGATATGTACTGTAAACAAAATGTAAATATGTGCCAGCTATTTTGTGTGTTATATTCAGTTATTTGTAGCCTTTCTTAAAGATGATCATAATTACCCATTTTTATGGGAAATAGTGATTGTTGAATAATGGAGTGATAACATCAGCACTAACAGAATTGCTTTTGAGTTTGGCAATCGGGTTTTTTTGTTTGTTTCTTGGGGTTTTTCAGGGGTTTTTTCTCGGTACCGGGGGTCCACCTCAGGACCTTGAGCTTGCAAGGCAGGCATGGCACCACTGAGCTAAATCTCCAGCCCCTACAGAATTGCTTTTGAAAAGACACCTTTTGCTACCGTATCTCCTTCATCTTCAGTTTTTAAAACCACTGAGTGAATGTTGAGATATTTTCACTAGATTTCAGTCTTTCAAATTATTATTGTAGGTGGTATTTTTCAAACGTTTGGGAGCAAAAAAGACATTTTTTTCTTTATCACATACTATATAGAAAAGTTTGCCATTTTAAAAAATATTTTTACTTATTACTAAGGGATTATTTTGTTAAACTGAAAAGCTTCTTACTAAGATATTAAAGCCTGGAGTCATTTTTGCCAATTATTTGAACCTCAGGAAATATAGTCATCATGTTCTCTTTTTCTCATTATTTCTTCTCATTGAATGATATTCCCTAAGTATCAGAAGACTTGAATGCACTGTTCCAAGTGATGACCTTGAATCATTTGTACTTGTGGGTGAAGCTTGTATGAACTGGAGTCCTCCTGCCCCAGCTCAGCCTCCCAAATGCTGGGAAATTACAAGTGTTTGCTACCATGCCCAGCTGGCCTTTTTTTTTTTTTTTTAAGATTTTTTTTCTCAACTTGTCTGATCAAGAGTATCCAAATTTTGTACAAAAACAATTTATATAGAATAAACCAACTTAATCTTAAATTTTATTGCACAAAGAACATTAAAAGTCATCATAATTTTTACCTGAAATCCATCACTGGTTTCAGAGAGTTCATGAAAAGCCTACAATAAAAAGCAAAATTCTATAAGATTATCAAAAAGATCTGTGATATCCAAAACTGAAGAACTCTTGATCTAGCCCAGAATTACCACAATGTTAAGAGTATCTTTTGTTAACTCATCCTAAAGTGCTTTTTAAATTTCTACTTTGTACTTTGCTTTATCTTCCGAGGTATTTTAAGCAAATATGCCTGCTGTCTGATTTTTTTTTTTTCTTAAATGCTAACTTTAGAGCTTTAAAAGCAAATCATTGTTTAGCTCTTGGACTTCCATAAAAAGCAAATGTAAAAACTAAGAAGAAGTGAATGTGTTATGATTTTGAAATTACTGTCCTCTTAAGTCAGAATATTACCAAGTACTATATTCCTGTCTTTATAAAGAATTAGGCAGGCTTATGGCTTGGGGGGGGGGGGTTGTGTTTACCACTGACTCCATTTCAACTGAATTCATTGCAATAAAATATTTACATTTGAGGTTTTTTTAATAAACTTTTACTATAAAGAGAATGTGCTGGTTTTATAACTAGAGAAGTAATGTTTACCACTGAATTCATTTCAACTGAATTTCATTAAGGGAAAATATTTATATTTGAGTCCTTTATAATGAGATTTTACTGGCTTTCCTATATCATCTTTACATAGCACTTACTATAATAATTACTTTTAAAAGGTGTTGGACTTTTGTTTAATTTTAAACCATTGATCACATATTAAAAGCAACATAATTCTTATTAAGGATCCAACTTGGATAGATGGATATAGCGATATATACAGATAGTGCAGTATTTATACTTGGGTTCAATTTAAGATTTTGTAAAGACCTTCTTAGGACATCTGACTAAAGTTCATTGTCCAGGCTCCTTATCTCCTTTAGTCTTTTAGAGTAGGTTTAAGAACACTCCCAAGTAGGGTTTAAGTTCCTCTACTATTCAGTATACCAATGGTAGTGAACCTATGGCATGGGTGTTTTATTTCCTTTTCTTTTAAGATAAAAGATGTAAACCTATGAGTTGTTTTTTTCTAAACTAAAACCTCATTCAGGTTTAATTGGAATGTTGGCACTTTGCGATAAATAAGTGGGTTTGGGGTTGCAGTTTGGGCACTCATCTCTACAAAGTTCACCATCACTGCAGTATACAGTAGGGACATCTCTCCTTATGAGATGAGGTGTGCATTCCAAAACTCACAGTAGAAAATTATAACAATGTGCTGACATATCTGAATTGCCAGAATTACTACTCTTACATAAAATAAAGGATACTGGAGTACAAGCCCTGTGATATCACAATAATCAGATATTGTAGACAGGTATTAAGTGACTAACAGGCAGGTAGCATATATTGGATACTGTGAACAAAAGAATGATTCCATGTTCCAGGCAAGATGGAATGAGATTTCATCACACTATTTAGAACAATACATGATTTAAAACTTCTGAATTGTTTATTTCTGGAACTTTCTATGTAATGTTTTCAGACTACAGTTGTCCATGTCTAATTAAAACTACAAATAAAGGGGTATATACTTCCACTGAACCTCCATGTCTTCCTCTGTTTGACAGGCACTCTATGGTCTAACTACACTCTGGCTTTTTTTAGATCTGTATATCTTCTTAACTGTAATGTTAACGCTATGGATTTTTAAAATTTGTTTTTGCAGTATTGGAGCTCAAACCCAGGACTTCTCATATGCTAGGTGACTACTCTGTATCTCTGACCTCACCCCAAAAATATCCCACATTTTAAAATTGAGACCCAGCTTTTCTGATTCTTCTTTTTGCTTTTGTAGCTGTATGCAGGAGCTATTCTTGAAGTCTGTGGATGAAAATTGGGGAGGTTCCCTCAAGTCCAAGGTATGTAGTAAACTTTAATTATTTAAAATCAGCATTTCACAAGAATAGTTTCATTAAGTATTCCCAAGAATATAAAGTTTTAGGATTGTACTTTCTCAGAAATGTGTGAATTTTTTTTTCTCATTTGCTTTTATGGAGGTAGAGTTTTATAGTAATCAGTGACTATAAGCAAGGACAATATATAAAATTTTTTTTCTTTTTTTTTTTTTTTTTGGTACCGGGGATCGAATTTGGGATCTTGCACTTGCAACTCAGGCAGCCGCACCATTGAGCTAAATCCCCAGCTCAACAATATATAAATTCTATGACAGTCTTTCCTTTATCAGATATAAATATAATTCCTTTAACACATCAATTCTACTGTACAGCTTTTTTTTTTTTTTTTTTTTGAGACAGGGTCTCACTTGGTAGTTCAGGCTGGCCCTGAGCTCACTTGGTAGCCCAGGCTGGCCTCAAATTTATGGCGATCCTCCTGCCTCAGCCTCCGAGTGGTAGGATTACAGACATGTGTCACCACGCCCAGCCTGTACAGCATTTTAAATGTGGACTGATTTACATAAAACTCCTAAGGAACAATTGCATTAAGTGAACATAGACCAGCACTGAATGACAGATGACCAAGAAGAGAATTAATTACAGTACCCTAGAATTTGGTGTACACAAGACAGACTCATACTGTGTGTACCTTCACAGGGAATTTTAATGGTAAATATGTCAAAAGGATAATTGTGAAAATTAATTTTTTATAGCATCAAACAGTGATGGAACTTTGCATTTCTAAAAGAGTTTAGATTAAGGCTTTCTAGTCTATCTGTGTGTGTCACTTGAAAATCAGTGTTACGAAACTGAACTGAACTGCTCTGAAAGTTTTTAACCAAAAATACATTAAGTGTTCTATTTATCTTGATTTGATTTCTGCTTATTTCCCCATGATTTCTTGCCCCTTTAGTATTTTTTTAAATTTCCAAAATTAGAGCATGCCTTTTTATTGTTGATCTAGAATTGTTTATGATATAATACTGCTCATTTTTTCACAGAAGTGTGGTATACTTGAACTTGGGGACATTTTTCCTAAGGCCCAACATTAACTCTAGTTGGCATTTGAACAGAATTTTTTACTCTCCCCATTAAAAGATCCCGCATAATATTGTAAAGCAGTTCACATACCAGTCTTTTACCCCTACCAAACTAAAGCCCAGAATTTTAAAACTTTTTATCATTAATATTTCCCAAATCTCAGGCCAGGGATTTAGCTCAGTGGTTTTGCCACCTGCTGCACAAGCGCAAGGACCTGAGTTCGATCCCTGGTACCAAAAAAAAAAAAATATTTCCCAAATCTACCAAACACTATTCCTAAGAGAAATTACATTTGTTTATTGAATGAATGGATTTATTTGTTGAACTTATGTAATTCAGTGGGTTACTGCCCCTTTGACAATGGGAATCTGCTAAAAAGCCTGTGTTTACATTGGTTATGTACTCTTGATCTATTTTTAGGCTTCTCACATTCCTTATCTATTCTGTACTGAGAAGTCAAACATTTTCTTTGGTCTTGCCTTTGTTATTGTACCTCCAGTCTTCCCAGCTTCCCTTAATTGAGTCACTTTTGTCTGGATATTTTTAAGTGCCTTATCTTTTGAGGGTGATCCAAATGACTCATAATTTTGCACTCATAAAGGTTTGTATGCAGTAGTAAATTTTTTAATAATACCTGTTAGCTTTCATTTAGCTCAGTTGAGAATTTAAATGTAGGTTTGTTTGTTTTTTTCTGGTACCGGCGATTGAACTCAGGACCTTGCACTTGCCAGGCAGGCGCAGCACTGCTGAGCTACATCCTCAGCCCCTAAATGGAGCTTCTTGTTCTCATCTCATATTGCTGCTTCTGGGTGTGGTGTAACATTTTTATTTAGAGTTTATTCTGAGTCATATGTACTTATCTCTAATCAACAGGAAAATAGCTAATTGTCCATCCATATAATTTTATATATAGTAGTTCATAAGTCTTAAACCTACCATAAGCTCTTAAAATCAAATCGTAAACTCAATATAAAACAATGTATCTACGTGTTATGTGATCAAAGGTATATCATCAGATCTAGCCAAGTATGTTTTGTCTCTTCTCATTTATTTTTCACTTGGGTGTTTTTTAAAATAGCATAACTTTTCTTTAACCTCAAGGCATATACTTCCTTATTATGTCCCCATCCCCACTTGCACACTCTTTTGGGGGGGGTGGGGAGGTGTACCAGGGATTGAGCTCAGGACCTTGTGCTTGCGAGGCAGGTGCAGCGCCACTGAGCTAAATCCCCAGTCCTACACACTACATAACGAGGAGCGGAAAATAGGTGGAAATTTCCAAGCAATGTGCACAGCCAAACTTAGCACTTAGGGGCCAGTATAAATGACATGCTCAGAATCGCAAGAAAATGCTGAAACATTTAATTTACTTTTAATCACTTTTGTATATTTGATCATTTTGACCTGTTCTTTACAAAATTACCTTTATAATTGAAAAGTAATTAAATTAGCAGAACATTGTCCAGAAATAGAGTTAATAGGTTTAATTCTTTTAGAAAGTAGAAATCTCAAAAGAGATCATTGATCTGTTTTTAAAACAACAGAAAGTAAACTAGAAGACAAGTTACTTTTCTACTTTTGCAAGTTTGGAGACTTTGTTTAATCACAGTATACTACCAGTGGGCTCAATTTTCTGTTTTGAATTTGGACTCTTCTTGCTATTTGTTTTTTTTTTTTTGGTACCGGGAATCAAACTCGGGACCTTGTGCTTGCGAGGCAGGCACTAGAACCACTGAGCTAAATCCCCGGCCCTCTTCTTGCTGTTTGTAGGGATTATTATTACTGCATTACTTTTACCCTTTTTTAGAAGTCTCTAAGAGAATAAAGAATTTTACTCATTTTTGATAGAATAAAATTTATTCTACCTTGCACTTACTCTTTATCAGTCCACTGAATCCTTTTATACAGTCTGCCAAAAAATGTATACATCTGGAAAAGAAAAACTTGTATAAATATTTTAATACAAAATTTATTGAGACATCTTGAGGTTAGTACAAGTTGGTCTCTACATAATTACAAGAAGTGCTCAAAGTGGTGGCCAATAGCTTACATTTATTAGTACAGCAAACAGCTGGAGTGCATATACATTTTATTGGTGGATTCTGTTATAGCTAAGATATATTATGAAATTGTTAAGCAACTGCTATTTACAGTTATGCTACAAAAGACTAAACTTACAAGGAAGACGATGCAATAATAAGATGAATTATTGATAGTGCATCATTCTTCAATTTTGTTACTGTTTGGCCTGTGCAGTATGATGTGTAGTAGATGGAGGTAGTAATAGTGGTAATAGTGTGACCCCATCTCTGTATAGTATTGTTATTTTGTTTTTTCTTTAACTCTCATTGCACATATTTGAGAATTCAAATTTTGTTTTCTGCTCCTACTGGTACAGAAGAAAACTGACAAAAAATATCTCAAATAGATCAGAAGATGAATTCAAAGAGAAAATAATATTTAGAGCTACATTGTCCAATTAGGTAACCACTAGCCAAACATAACTGTTGAAATTAATTAAAATTAAAGGAAATGCTCAAAAAATACCATATTAAACATCAGATAAAATATTTCCATTAATGCAGGAAGTGGGTGCTCTAGACTAACAATGATAGTAAAATCTATTAAATAGAATCTCATACTGAAACCTCATTTGATAATACCTCGAATGAATTTTCTCAAAATCAGCAACAGTGAGTGAACAATATATATCACTGAGGACAAAAAGGAAATAAGATATTGTTATATTGTTAGTCATCCAACAAGAAATTGGACCCTCCTATTTTCCTAAAAGATCATGTGAATCATGGTATTTTTCTTTTAACTTTTATGATGTTTGCATATTAAAATTTACTTGATAAAGTTTGTAAATGAGCAAATGCTAATGCATCTTTATACAAACATGAGTGAAAAAAAATGAAGATATAGGCCATAGATGTAAGCTTAGTGATACAGCATGTGCTGAGCATGCACAGGGCTCTGATTTGATCCCCAGCACCAAAAACATGATTAGGACATGAAAAATTCATTGGATTTATTATTCTAATCTAGTGTTTGTACACTTAAAAATACAGGTTTTACAAATTTAAGATGGCTATTTTATCTTCAAGAAAATATTTCATGGAAGATGACAGTGTAAGCGCGGGAAGTAATAGAAAGCTAAAACCTATTAGAAATGTGTTTGCAATCTGTTACCAATATTTACAAGGTGGCTTTATTCCAAGTTCATATATTACAGCCAATGAACAGTTAACTTGCATTCAGAGGAGATTGGGCGTGTTAAGGGTGGTTTGGCCATAGACCACTTTACTTGCATTCAAAGTACAGGCCCATTTTGGTTGCATTTACCTTCAAAACCAGGAAAATACAGAATAAATATATAAATTTGCTGTATTTAAATTCCTATTAATATTTTAATAGATTTTTCGCTTTCTCTTTATCCTTATGTAAAATTATTCATAAAATCATTTAAAAATATAAAAAATTAACAGACTCCACTGAACCCAGATGGTAAGTGGTGATGACAATTTTCCTTTGTATTCTAAACGTTAAAATATTCCAGCTCTCTTCTTCTAGGATTTTGTAAGTTAAAAATGTACATCTTCAAAGAGTGCCATAACCCCATCATTTGTCTTCCTGGACTTCATTTGCTGTTTGAATATTTAACAACTCATACAGCTGTAGAGCAAATTAAATTTGATTATAATGAGTAATCATTAAACCAGAGGAGTACAACAAATAACAATATTACATATTCAAATACCAAGCATTCTATAAAAACATATACAAAAAATTTTGTAAAATGTTTAAAAATTCACTATCATGGGCCAGGATGTAGCTCAGTGGCACTGTGCCTGCCTTGCAAACACAAGGTCCTGAGTTTTACCCCGGTACCCAAAAAAAAGAAAAAAATTCACTATCCTGATTTTGCTTATAACTGTAAACCATCGTGAGAATTTTCCCTCATACCTGTGCTGTGCAATATGTTTACATTGAGAAATTTAATATATTGCTACATTCAAAACTAAAGTGGAGACCAAAGTCATTGGACTTGAAGAAAGTTATCTTTTTGACCAGTGATAACTGTTGCCTTTCTTAGCATACATTTTTGCCATGCTTTTCCAGATTACTCTCTTGGGCAAAGCTTTTGGAGCTATTTTGACTATATCAGTTTCAAATTTTAGGAATAACTTGTTTAAAATATTAGGAGAAAATCCTTTTGCATCCTTTACGTTGTTGAAGGAAAGACATTGTTTTGTATGCAAGTAAATTTTTAAATTTTCAGTTCTCCAGTGCTATTTCTTTATCATCCCCAGCATAATAAAATCTTTTTGTAAGCTCAGAGGACTTATTATCTGTTGTTAAATGAACAGCATTTGAGTTAGCTTCTGTGCTTGGGCCTCTGCTGGATTTGATCCTCAGTAGTGCAAAGGAAGGAAAGATTAAGAGCATTTTTTTCCCTTGGTGCTAGAGATTGAACCCAGGGCCTATTCTAAAAACATGCTTTATCATAGAATTCCATTTTCTCACATTCCCATAGAGCATGTCCAATGCTATGTGTTTTTAAGTCCTCAAATATTTGTTAAAAGATTCATTTACTCCTTGTAAAGTGTGATTTGCCTACAAGGTATTTAATAGATAACTTTCTTCATTCAAAATTACAATGCTTATGGATGTATACTTAGCAGAGAAAAGAAGGAGCTGATGAATATAGTCATTGTGACTCATTTTAGTATTCCTTTTAAATTTGTTCACTCATCCCAGCCTATTAAGTCTGTTGAATGAATGGACATTATTAAATGTGCTAAGTTCTGTTTTGAATACAAAGATTTAAGAAAAATTCTTAACCCAGAGAGATTTTTATAGGAAAGGTAAATTAACACAATTAAAGTGTGTTACATGGTGTTTTACATAGGCAGGCATATCTGCCAACAGATAGTTAAAATGCAAGAGGTTATCCTAAGATCACTTTCTTTGGGAATTCAAAAGTTTACAGAGTAAACAAGTAGTCTTGAAAGATAAAGTTAATAGAGAAAATACTCTCTTCAGCCGGAATAAGTTTTATTTTAAACTAAATTTTATATGGGGAGATTAGATTGGTCACCTAAAAATCTTCCAAAAAATTCTTCAAAAAAATAAAGACCAGGGCCAGGGATTTAGTTTAGTGGTTCTGCCGCCTGCCTCACAAGTGCAAGGTCCTGAGTTCAATCCCTGGTACCAAAAAAAAAAAACCTTCTCAAAAGAAAAATATTTTAAAAAATAAAGACCATTTATAATCTTGGTTTTCTTGTCCTGAATAACAAGTATATAAGGATGTTTGTGGTGACACTTCTATATGCTATTGCTGTCTCATTCTAAGATTAAAAAATAAATTTTCCAAAGTATGTATGTTGCTTTGAAAATCTTAAGATTAAAGTGATAGAAATGATTTTAAAAACTGGTGTTAAAATCTATTAGATAGGGCCCGGGGATTTAGCTCAGTGGTTCTGGCTCCAGCCTTGCAAGCACAAGGTCCCGTGTTGGATCCCCAGTACCAAAAAAAAAAAAAAAAAAGTTCAGGGTCACCCTGGGCTACATAGTGAGTTCAGTGCCAGCCTAAACTACACATAGCAAGACCTTGCCTCAAAAAAAAAGAGATAAGCGCAAGGTCCTGAATTCAATCCCCCCCCCATGCCAAAAGAAAAAGAGAGAGAGAGAAAGCTATCAGCTATCTAAGTGAAGCATGACTCATTTATTTTTGAAAAATATAAACTTTGATTTGAACAATTAGACATGATCATTATTGAAAAACATCACTTATTACTGATGTAAGAACCAAAAATGAGGGAAATGTTCCTTTAAAATTTCCCCTAATCTGTGCCTCAGGTATAGCCTCCATTAAATAACATTCTTAAAAGATTGTATTTAATGCTTCCAGGCTTTTTCATTTACAATGAAACTGGGTAAATATCATCTTTTTCTTAACAACTATAGAAACAAACTGATCATCAGCCTGCTACATCAGAGGTGTTCATTTCTCTTTCACTAAATACTGTACAGATCAACATGATTTTCAGTGTTGATATATGTTAATTTACTCAGCTGATAGCCTTTCACACCTTCAGATTACTTTCCATATTTTGTTGTCAGGACCTTAAACAATAGTTTCTTCATATCACTTGTTTCTTCAGTATAAAGTCCTAGGAATAAACTAGTAGGTTTAAAGGATATGTACCTTTTAAGACCTCCAGTTCATTTCCTAAATACCCCTCAGAAAAGAGGTTTGCATTTTGTCCCACAACTCACCTCTAGCAAAATCTTTCACAGCTGAGCTATACTATCATTTTGTTAAATCCCAAAACTCTCATTGGAATTGGGATTTGATTAATTTGAAAAATTAATGTCTTAAAATATTTAGTCTTCCTATCAAAGATATGGTATGTCTCTCCATTTATTCACATTTATGTTATCTGTTTAAATTTCTTTATATTTTTCCATAAAGGATACAATGTTTCATTTAAGTTTATTTCCACCTTTAGTATTGGTTTTTGTAGCTAGCTTGAATTTGGATGTAAACAGTTTGAACTCATTTTTCTTTTTAGCTTTCGTCAGAAGCGATAAGCCCAAACTGTTCAGAGGTCTGCAAATCAAGGTAAGATGATTTTAATGGAATCTCTTTTTCCACTGTTACTTTGTATCTTTTTGAATTGAAATATAAATATTTGGGTAATTTTTTTTAATTAATAGACTATTTTTTAAAACAGTTTTAGGTTTATAGAAAAACTAAACAGAAAGTAGAATGGTTCCATTGACTCTTTGGCCCTCATCCTTGCCCTCAATTTCCTAGGTTATAGCATCTTCCTTTGATGTGCTACATTGTTGAAATAATCTTGATGCATTAAGGTCCATAGTTTGTATTAGATATCACCCTTTGTGTTGTATAATTCCAGTTTTGCCCAAATGAATTCTATCTTGTATCCACAATTATAGTATCATCCAGGATATAATTTCTCTGCTCTAAAATTCCCCTGTACATCACATGTTCATACCTCTCTCCTGCCAGCCACTGGCAACCACTGATCATCTGTCTCTGTAGTTTTTCCAGAATGTCACATAGTTGTAATCATATAATATGTAGCCTTTTCAGATTGGTTTCTTTCACTTAACAGTGTACATATAAAATTCTCCAGTGTCATCTTCATGTTTTAATAACACCTTTTTATTACAGAACAACATTCTGTGCTGCCATTTTTTTTTATTCATCTGTGGAAGAGCATCTATATGGCTTGCAATTTTTGATGATTATCAATACTAAAGCTACTATAAACCTTATAGTTTCTGTGTACATATAAGTTTTCGACTCATTTAGTATAAATACCTAGGAGTATGATTGCTGGATTATACAATTAAGATTGTTTTGTACTAGGAGTGAATAAGAGTTCCTCTTGCTCCACACCCTCACCACCATTAGATATTGTAGCTATTTGGGGTTTTAACCACTGTAATGGTATCATTTGTTTTAATTTACTTGTTGGCTGTTTGTATACCTTATATGGAGCACTGTCTTTTGCCTATGTTTTAGTTGGGGCTTTTGGGAGGTTGGTTTGTTTGGGTCTTGAGTTGTAAGGGTTCTGCATGAATTCTGGATTTTAACCCCTTATCCAGGTATATGATTGCCAATATTTTCTCCTTTCTGTCTGTTCATTGTTTCTCTTACTAGACAGAAGCTTTCAAGTTTTGGTGTCCTATTTGTCTCTTTTTGCTTATTTTCCCACTTTCTTGTTTTGGGGATTTTTTTTTTTTTTTTTGCCAATCTTTAAAAATTCTTTGTGTAATTTAAACGCAAGTCCTTTATCAGAGTTATGTTTTGCCAAGAGTTTCTCTCAGTCTGAGGCCATCTTTCATTTACTGAAGCATTGTCTTTGACAGAGCACACATTTCCTTTTGGGGCTGAGGGATATAGCCCCCCCCCCAAAAAAAAGATAGGTTATGAGTCCCACAGTCTTCTTTGAGAACATCCCCTCTAATGGCTAGATGACCTCCCACCATATCCCACTCTTTTTTTTTTGGTACCGCGTATCAAACTCGGGTCCTTGAGCTTGCAAAGCAGGTAGAGGAACCACTGAGCTAAATCCCCGGCCCTACTATTCCCCATTCTTAAAGATTCTACTGCCTTTTGGTAGCTCCATGCTGGAGTCTAAACATTTAACACATGGACTTTTAGGACTATTTAAGATCCAAACTTTAGCAGTATAGTATAAATAGTGTTTGCCTAGTATAAATAATGTTATGTTTCTAATTTCAAATTTCAGCTGTTCATGACTGATACATAGAAAAGCAATTGATGTTAATATATTAACCTTGTATCCTTGCTATAATCCCTGTCTAGTTCCATAAGTTTTTTGTTGATTGTTTGGGATATATATATATAGACAATCATGTCACCTGTGAGCAGTTTTATTTCTTTTTCCCCAATCTGTATACATCATACCTGCTTTACTTAGTTAGCTAGGACTTCATCACTATTGAGTTAAGGTAGTGAGAGTGGACACCCTTGACTTGTTCTCTTACAGGGAAAACATCTAGGTTTTTCACCATTATGTACAATTTTAGTTGTGGGCTCTTTTTTTTTCTCTAAGTTGAAGAAGTCCCCTCTATTCCTAGTTTGCTAAGAGTATTTATCATGAATGGGTGATGAGTGCTTTTGTCAGATGCTCTTTGTACATCTATGAATATGATTATATGAATTTTTTCTGATTTAACCTATTGATAATAATGGACTAACATTAATTTTCAAATTTTGAAACAGTCTTATATATCCGAAATAAATCCCCATTGTCATAGTGCATAATTTCTTATACATGTTGTTGAATTCGATTTGCTAGTATTTTGTACAAGAGTTTTGCAGCTATGGTCTACCTAGCTTATTAATTTTTTTGCACTAGAGTAAGTTTTTGAATAAGTGAATAAAATTTTAAAAATAATTTATGTAGTAACTTGAGCAGAAATGTTGAAGTAATATGGTGATGATATTTCATTCATTCATTCATTCACTCATTCATTAGCCCAGAGAGCCTATATTTCTGTTCTCCACAAGTGGGTTGGGAATATACCTGTGCTAATAATTTATATCAGAGCTCACCTCTATTTCTGGAATTCACAGTCCCAGAGAACCTAAAACAACTGAAGTTATAACAGTTGAAAGAAGTTCTCATCACTGTTAGATTTTTAGGTATCGGGTTCTATGAAATTTAAAATTGAAGATTTACTCTTAACATATAAATTAATGTTTATATATTTTCATATTTATCTAGTTAAAATTTCTTAGAGCTCTCTATTGGCTGGAGCTAATGGGTCTGAAGTTTCAGGAATTCAGCTTCATTCTAAACAGATTACAACAAAATTATGAGGTTTCTAAAGCCAAGGAAAATTAATGATCCAGTATGGGATTCTGTGTTTGATAATTTTTATGCACAGCCTATTTCAAAACATTGTTATACCATTATTCTGTCTCATTATTTTGGTCTGCCTCCACCATTAGATTTTTAAGCTCATTTGAGTTTGAGAAAGTCATATGTAATAAATACTTGTTACATTCAATAATAAACTTAAATCCCAAATAAAATGTCTTGATACCAATAGATATATTTTCTCTTTAGAAGTAAAATTAATTTTTTATTTCTCATTTTTTATTAAATCATACTTAATTCTATCCTAAAAGAGTTCTTTAAGACCTATTGATTGTGATGTTATATCTAGAAGCTTTTTTTATTACTATTACATTTAATAGTCTGTTTTGATCTTCTGTGAGACTGAGAAGTCTCTTTCTAAGAAGAAAAGAGTAATAATTTCCCTCTTTTTTTGTAGTATGTTCGTGGTTCAGACCCTGTACTAAAGCTTTTGGACGACAATGGGAACATTGCTGAAGAACTAAGCATCCTGAAATGGAACACAGACAGTGTAGAAGAATTCCTAAGTGAAAAGTTGGAACGTATATAAATCTTGCTTACATTTTGTCCTATCTTTTTGTTTTTAAATGAAATATTACAGCACCTAGAAAAGAATGTAGTTTTGTTTGCTTCCATTAATCAGTCTTTTTCTGTGAGGCATTAAACATCTAATTAAAAGTTGAAGTGGCAGCACTGACCATGACATCTGAGGAGTAGGCAAGATTAACAGAGCTCATTTTTTAATAAATTTCTGTTCTCTTGCATTTGTTGATACCACTAACAAAAGTGCTTTGTAATAGTCTTGTGATTAATTGTGCAAATGCTGGTTTGTGACTATTGGTCCAGTCTTATAAAAAACAGATTTTTAAATTAGATTGGTTAATAAGGGAGATTATTGTTCATGTACTGTAGGTCTTCTGAACGTAATGACAGAAAACTACAAAGCAAATAAGATGTACTAAGCCTCAATAGATTGCCTACTCCTTAGAACCTTTCCTGTTTTTGTATTGCCCAACTTTCTTTTTAATGGAAATATTATATATAGTTTATAATAAATGTACTGCATAAAAACTTTCTAACTTCATTATTTTGAAATATTGAAGATCTGCAGTAAGAGTGTAACAGTCACAAAGATTTGCATTAATGAGGACTACACAGAAAACCTTCCTGAGGATTTGTGTAGATCCGATGTTTGGCAAATTTTTGTATTTTACATTCTTACAAAAAAAGTCACATTTAAAAATTATACCTGTAAAACCAAAATATAAATAAAAACTTTGAAAAATCTGTCTGAATTGAAATCATTGTGGTTTGTACTTTCATGTTTCAAAATGACTATGGTTTTTTTATGTACAGTGCTTTTTAAAGTTTTTTGGGGGAGAGACTGGGTCTTGTTTATACCCAGGCTGCCCTGGATCTCACCATCCTCCTGCCTCAACCTCTAGAGTGCTGGGATTGCAGGCATGCACCACCACTCCTGGCTTACAAGTAAATTTGTTTTTAAAGCCAGCAAGAGAACAATTATAAACCTGTGTAATAAATTGGCAAACAGACTGTGGTCTGCTTTTGATCATCAGTAGCAATGGGGTGGGCTCTCATTTTGATAGCACTGGGGTCTGGTTAATATGCCACTAATTCTTCGTGGTTGTTGCTACTTCAAAACGAGGAGATTAAGCCAACTGTGGACAGTGGGAAAAACAGAGAGGAATTGCTACCACATACAGAAGAATAGTGGTACTGAAGGGTAAAACTTCAAAACATCTGAGATACACATAGAAAATTAATTGGACTGGTTTCTAGGCAGGAAGACTACTAAATCTGACACAGGGTTTGTGATGGTAGGATGAAAAGAAGACTGAAACTCTGTTGTATTCAAGTTATTGTAAGAGATCAAAGAGGCCAAACATCCCACGGTATTGCAAAGCTTGACGTTGTAAAGTTGATGAATAAAAGGAGTCTACCAAGCTCCGCTGTTTTAATTGGGAGATTCAAGTTAATCAGCCAATTCCAAGTGGGTTTTTTTTTTTGACCAATTGTAATCAGCTTTTTAAAGAAACAGCACTAATTACAAAGAAAGAGGTTAAATAGTGATCCAAAAACTACCATTTTATAGCCAAATTCTGGTATCTTATTAAGCTTATTCAAATTCACAAACATGGATCTATAATAGTAATTTGATATTTATCTTAGCTCCCCCTGCCAAATTGTTACTAATAACCTTAAACAGTTAATTTATCTATAAATTTCTAAATTTAGCAAAAGCCTTTTACAAGGAACTATGAACAAGAACTGACATATCTTGTTTTAAGAGAATTTGAGGCTTGAAATCCATTCTAAAGGGGCAGAAAATACCTTTGAAAGCAAATACTGCAAAATTTTAGAAGTTATGGGTTGGGGTTATAGCCAGTAGTAGAGCACTCACCTAGCATACACATGGTCCTAGGTTTGATTCCCAGCACTACAAAATAGTTTTTTTGTTTGTTTGTTTTGTTTTGTTTTTTGGTACCGGGGATTGAACTCAGGTCCCTCCGCTTGCGAGGCATGCAGCAGAACCACTGAGCTAAATCCCTGGCCCCCAAAATAGTTTTTTTAATGAAAATAAATTTTGGAAGCTAAAGTTGGCAGTAGCTAGGATGCAAAAGCATGTTTATGAGTACATGGGAAGCAGGACAGGTTTCATATATGAGCACAACCAGGTCAGTATTACTTGGATTTTAAAATATCTTTTGAAGCTGGGTATGATGGCACACACCTGTAATCCGAGTTGTTTGGGAGGCTGAGGCAGAAAGATTGCAAATTCAAGTCCAGCCAGGGCAACATATCTTAAAAAGGACTGGGACCATTGCTCAGATCCCCAGTACACAAAGCAAAACCAACTTTAATCATATGCTGTGATGGCAGAGGACTCTGGGGACTGTCTTTACAATGTGTGATCAAAAATAGTTAATGCTGCTACCTAGTGCCATCCAACAGAAAGGCCCATCAAAACATAATGGGAGCTCTTCTACCTTACCAGATCTGCCACCACACAACTTCTGACTCCTCCCCAAAGTCAAAATGACCATGAAAGATAAACATCTTGAATCAATTTAGGACAATAAGGCAGCCACAACAATTCAACTAAAGACACTCATGAAAGACTTCCAGAACTGCTTCAGAAAGTGGCAAAGAATGGTAAGTGTGTTCAAAGTGAGGGAGTATTTTGTGGGGGGTTAATGGTAATGTGTCTTTTAAATGTAAACTTTCACTGTATATTTTTTCTCACACTGCTTATTCAGAGTTGTACAGCCAACACCACAGTTTAGAATATTTCATCAGACCATAAAATCCTATGCCCATTAATGTCACTCCCCACACCTATCCCACCAGCCTAGGCAACCACTGTCTGGTTTCTGTATCTATGGGTGTGGTATTCTGGACATTTCGTATAGATGATATGAATAACCTTTTGCCAGGTATTTTTCACTTGGTATATTTTCAGGGTTCATTTGTATTATAGGATGTATTTTATCTTTTTATTTTTATTTATTTATTGGGGTACTGGGGATCGAACTCGGGACCTTGCACTTGCGAGGCAGGTGACGGAACCACTGGGCTAAATCCCCAGCCCCTATTTTATCTTTTTATAATCATATAATGTCCCTTTGGGGCCAGGTGTAGTGCCTATAATTCCAGCACTCAGGAGCCTAAGGCAGGGGGATTGAAAATTTGAAGCCAGCCTGAGCAACTTAGTTGAGACCCTGTCTCTAAAAAAAAAAAACAAAAGATAATATTCCTTTGTGTGGATATACCACTCATTTGGCTGTTGTAAAAAATGCAGCTGTATACCTTAGTAGAAGTTTTTATGTACAAATGTTTTCCTTTGTCTTAGACATTCACAGGAGTGGAATTGCTGAGATATGTACTACGTGTAACTTACTGTGCTGGGGATCAAACCCAAAGCCTTGCACATACTAGGCAAGCACTCTACCTTTATGTTACAGCTCCAGTTTCTGCTCATCCTAGAATTTGTTGATCTCTTGAGGAGACTTTTCATGATTTCACAGTCTTACCAGCAAAAGCCATTTAGCTGTAATAAGCACTTTGTCCTTCACTAAAGGGTCCTTAGACTGCTATTCTTTAAAACTTTGAATGCTATTTTTCATTTTCTCAATTATACCTACCTTTTGTGCTTTCAGTTTACTCCTTTTCCTCTTCTCTACCTTCAGTCATGGGAAAAAAAAAAAACAACCCATAATGTCACATCTGGTCACCTTTAGCAGCTTTTTAAAAGCATAAATATGCAATTACAATTATGATTAAAACAATGAAGAGAAAAAATAACTAGGAAAAATTACAAAAGAATCAAGTGAGGTTAGGGATCTTTGAAGTTATGACATTAAAACAGGACTAAAAAATGAGCTGAAGCTATCTAGGAATAGTGAATTAAAATGCCTTCCAGTCAAGGAAAAGCATATGCAACCCTGCTTGGACTGGACTTGGGAGGAAGTCTAGCATTTTCCACACACCTGAAAGAAGACCAGTGTGTCTGGAACCCAGTGAGCCAGAGGGAAGAATAATAGGAAATGAAGTTGGGAAGACAGGCAAAAAGGGTGCAGTTCCTACCATCTGAAGAATTCAGTTGTATTCTAAGTAAATTTTAGAATAAAAGCAGAAAAGGAAAAACCCTTAGGCAGGAGAATGACTAATCCAATAAGATCAACTCAAGATCATGAACAATCAGCTAATACTCAATTATGTCTATGTAAATACACATAACTGTTTTAGTGCTCTCACTAATGACCAATAACCTTTTCTAAAAGCCTGGACTATATAGGACTATATAGTTTACTTTTTTTCCCCCCAAAGTCCTTTTTAAACTCATTAGTTTGCTTTGAAGGAAAAAAAAGACAAGCCTAAGCATAAATGTTAAATTGAGATCCCCTTGTTCATTTGTATATACTCAAAGATCTTAGAATCTTCACTAGTTAAGTGAACTAAAGGGAAGTGCCTATGAGTTCACGCTGTCCTCGAACACTTTCCCATCTTTGTCTTTCTTGTGGCAAATTCTCACAATGTTGCCCAGGCTGGTCTCAAATTCATGAACTCAAGTGTCTTCCACCTCAGCCTCCCAAGTCACTACAGCATTCACCACCATGCCCAGTGGTTCTTTTCCCTATCTCTGTGCTGAACACTAATGAAAAATCGTGGAAGCCAGGCATGGTGGTGCACACTTGTAATCCCAGCACTATGAGAGGCAAACACATCAGAAATTTGAGCCCAGCCTGGGCAACTTAGTGACTTAGTAAAATCCTGTCTCAAATTATAAAAAGGACTGGGGATGTAGCTCAGTGTGAAGGCCTTAGGCTCAGTCCCCAGTACTGAAAAAAAAGAAAATCATGGAGCTCCACCCTTGGAGTAATTTGAGTTAATGTCTACAACAGTCTCTTCCCCCAACCCCACTGTAACATACCAAAGGTTCTTAGGGCTGGTTTTGTACATCCAGACTTTTGATCCATGTTCCTGTTTCCTGTTGCCTGATCTTTCGGATCATGAATGCATATGTGACCTACCTACACTACCCTATTGGTCTTTCTAGATATTGAAATTTATTTGGGCTTGACTCATGTTTCTGTTTCTTCCTTTGTGGCTTGAATATCTAGATGCTGACCTACAGCCCAAACTCTGATCTAATTTTTGCATTTTCCTGCCTGACCTGGTCCTATGAATAATGACTCCTCTAACCCTAGCCATACCTCTCCTAGTCTAGTTTCTATTACAGATTAACCACTCCAAAACTTTATGGTTTAAAATAATTATTCCTTTGCTCAAAATCTGTAATTTGGGCAGGGCTCCATGAGGATACCTCATCTCTGGTTTACAGGGTATCAGCTGCAGCAGCTCAACTAGGGCTAGAGGATCTGCTTCTAAGATGGATCACTTACACCACTGGCAAACAAGCACTGGGAATCAGTTCCTCTCCATTGGGCAGCTGGGGCTTCCTTACAGCATGGTTAACTGGTTTTCAAAAGTAAGCATCCAAGAGTGGAAACTGCCAGTTTGTTAAGGCCTGGGCCCAGAAATGACACTTAATTCTACCATCTATGTGTCAAGAAATCACAAATCCTCTAAGCTGGGGGAGCATAGACTTAATGGAGGGATGTTGTATTAGCTTTCCATTACTATGACAAAATACCTGGCACAATCAATCTAAAAGGAGGAAAGGTGTATCTTGGCTCATGTTTTCAGTCCATGGTGACATGGCCTGTTGATTGTGGGCCTCTGCTCACCTCATTGCAGCCAGGA